TGGAAGTAATCTCAACAATTATGAATCAAGAGATTCCTCGAAACCCAACTTTTCTTCATATGAATTCGGTAAGCCGAGAAATTCATCACAAAATTAAAACCACAAATTTCTTCTGACCAACTTACGCTAAAATAAAGTCTAGCCAGACTTTAGCGAAAATCCCACCATAAATGTGATAATTCGCAACCGGATGCTTACTAGCATGATGATGGAGTAGATATGTACCGAAGAGATTTCCGGAAAGACCGGCAGTCTTTCCAAGACAAATGGAAATAAAGTGAGAAAGAGGCAAGCTACATCCGACTTCGAGTGCAGAATATGCCAATGACAGAACCTCTTTTTGGCACTACTCGAATTCGACGAGGTCAGGCATGACGGTTGGCGATTATCGCGGACAGTTCAACTTGACCAGATTAACATGCGCCAATTGACGATAGGAAATTAGTTAACTCAGCCTCATTGGTCGGCCGGCCGAGATGCGACTTACTTATCCGCCCATTTTCATCCCCTTCACCATCTGCTTGTTCCCTCTCAAGAGGGCCGACTCAGTTCCGGGCTTCGCCGAGACTTGAATCCAGCCGAGCCGACTCAAGCCTACACAACTCGTTCAAGGCGAGCCAGGCCGACCGGATTAGAGGGGGACAAATTAGGCGGAGACGTGGAGTCGCGGCTAGTTATAATGAAGAGATATGAAGGGGAGCCAGAAAAGGGGCAATAATGGCAAAAATGCAATTGTATGGGACGAGATTGTCAGTTGAGGAGAGGTGAGAGGACGACTTTTGAATGGGAAATGCGAACAACTGTGCGGCAAATTTCATACAAGACAATTTTGAGTGACTGGACTAAAAAGTAGCAATGACCAACTTCATACAGGCCGGATGGGTACGAAGAGTGGGTCGTCTGCTCCCCCAACTTTAAGCCTCAAGGCTCTGGGACGACAGGGGACAGCTATCCGCGGTTGGGCAAGTGGTATGGGCTCAGGTCTAAACACAAGGTCAGGCTGGATGAGATCTGGATACTCGTCGCCGTGACGGCCAGATTGATAATTGAAGTGGAAAATCAGATTATTGCCCTCAGGCAACTTATTTCCTCGTTTTCTTGCCTTAACATACGCAAGCATACCTTCAGTCCGACCGAATGACTTATTTCATTCTATACCTCTGTCCATATACACCTCTCTCTGTTGGCATGCCTACACGACTCAACGTTTCCATGCTGAAGTCTGTGCCTGTGAACAAGTGCATAGGATGACCAGCTTCACGACTCCTGACTGTCTCGTCATCCGGAGGCAGTAGTCAAGATATCACGGACCTTGTTGTTCTGTTTTTCGAAGCTACGACGATCCATTCCGGCTACAATCAGGAGGGGTGGCAAGGTTGGCGAGTGAGCAAGATTCCTCCTGTCCGTCGATGGCAACGTTAAGGATTATTCGACCAAGTTGTTGTCGCCTAGTCTCCAATCGGCAAGTTGACGTGGTCGCTCTGTAGGCAGCATTATTGCCGGAAGTCCGGTCTCCTCTCAATCGACACGAGGAGACTCTACAAAAGAGTGGCCGCAGAAAAAAGATGCTCCCGAAGACCACCAGCCTCGGTAAATCATTGTATTAAACACTCATTGTCGAGCCTAAAGACCTGAGACCAAAAACCAAAAATGAGCCAAGAGCCAAAAATGGAACAAAATGCTAAGATTGTTGGGTAGGAAAGGGCATGAAGAAGAGCCGGATAGTCTTCTTTGCCTCGTGTTAAAATGACAAATTTTCCAGGAATGAGACCCAGCTCTGATGATGCCCATCGAATGATGGACAAAAGCGTCAACCTGAATGTCGCATGAAAGCCAAATGGCTGCAGCACAACGGGATTCATCCTTTTTCATCTGGTGAGATCAACCTACGAATCTCTTCTTCATGTACTTTCATACGTACTGAAAGTCCTCTCAACAATGTGAGCTCAGGGGATTCATAGAAGCCCAGCTTCTCTTCCTATCTATAATAATAAAAAGTCTGTGTCAAGCAGATATAAGATGTATTCAGCCAATTTCGTTTAAGGTGATGAAAGACTGGTAGAAGTAGATTTTTCCCACAAATGATATGAGTTGAGCTGACGTTTCCATTGAATTTTTACATAGCTTTGAAACTGCAGTCCACCCTGGATGAGAACAACTTTTGGGAAAGCAAAGCTATGTAAAAATTCAATGGAAACGTCAGCTCAACTCACATCATTTGTGGGAAAATTCTACTTCTACCAGTCCTTCATCACCTTGAACGGAATTGGGTGAATGCATCTTATAACTAATTTACTGGTAGTCACGAAATGGAAGTAAGCTCAACAATAATGAAACAAGACACTCCTCAAAACCCACCTTTTCTTCGCATATAATATAAACGAGTCAGAAGTTATGATAGGGCGGGATTAAACCGGGAGAGTGGGTTGTAGAAAGATGGGTCAGGACAGAAAGATGAGTGATAGCACAACCGTTTCTGCAGAAAGGTAGACAAGGAAGTGACGCCATTTTTCTCTTAGACGATTCAATTCTTAATGCTGAGACTGGCAAGATCTACTTAAGATGCCGAAGAAATGTCTAGGAATTTACCAGGTCGCCTGTTTGATGCTGAGAATTATGCTACACTTTATAACAGAGGACTTCGGATAAGGTGCGCCCAACTAAGTCGCCTTAATGACACGACCAAGCCACGAAAACGAGGTCAGCCCACTTCTATACATCGAAATTAGACTTTGACTACAACAAAGGCGACATCATCTTGGTCTTCATATCTTCTAGTGTAAATATTGTTTCTTGAATCTTTGTGGAGTATATAGATTTATTGATATTACAAGTCGGTGCTTAAGTCTGTAAGATTTATTTATTTCACCTAATTCTAAATAATCTTAACTTTAGATTATAGGGACTCAACTACCGCTTATTCATCATCTTATAGTTGTTAAGACTTGTCATTTGCAGTTAACTCTGACATTATGAAATAATGCTTTGGTCACTTGATTTTAAGTAATCCGTTATCCTCTTTTTTATTCTTTCGTCAATAAAGCATTACTTATTTCATTAGACACCATTAGCATGCAATAGTATCAATTCGATTAAGTATACGCATTGTTGGTTCGGTAAACTTATTGATTTTCTGGTTTTATTTTGTTTTAAGTGTCGAGGTTGATGTATAGTTGAAAATTATTTTGGGTTGTATGACTTGGATTTCTGATATTTTTATTTGATGCTTTAGTTGTGGACAGATTTGCACAGTTATATGTATTATGTAATGTTAGAATGCTGTTCGGTACGGCCTATAACAAGTTAAAATTAAGCATGCCCCAACTTTCTGCTGCGAGGTTTATAAGTAACAATAAACTATTTTATTTCAAACAATAAAAATTACTTTTCGTCTATAACTAGGCTCTCGAGGCTATTAGTAGATCATGCATATATGAAATGTATTCAGCCTATTTCGCATAGGGTGATTAGAGTACTGATGGTTGAATTTTCCCATAATGAAATTACGTAAACATGATGCTTCCATTAAATTTTACAAAGCCTTGCTTTTCCAAAAGTGATTCTCTCGCATGGTGGACTGCATTCCCGACCTCGCCTGGGTCTTATCAATACCACCAGCGACATGTTAACCACTACGCTGCACTGTCATGGTTCGAGTCCCGCTGGGGGCGTTTAAAGACCCAGGCGAGGTCGAAACTGCAGTACGCCCTGGATGGGCATAACTGTTGGAAAGGCAAGGCTATATAAAATTCAATGAAAACGTCATGTTTACTCATATCATTGTGAAAAAATTCAATTAACTGAAATGGGATGAGTAATTTTCATATTAAAAATAATTTTTAAACGAATTTACATGGATGCTCAATAAGGTTATTAGTTTTGCATTTGTAATAATAAGAAATTATGTACATTTTCTAT